GGTTTGCATTGCACAACATCAGAAAGATCAGGCCCTTTCTAACGGAGCATGCTGCACAACTTCTTGTCCAGGCCCTTGTCATCTCTAGGCTGGACTACTGCAATGCTCTTCTGGCTGGACTTCCATCAAGCACAATCAAACCTCTACAAATGATTCAGAATGCAGCGGTACGACTGGTCTTCAACGAGCCCAAAAGAGCCCATGTTACACCTCTCTTTATCTCCTTGCACTGGCTACCGGTTGCGGCTCGAATCAAGTTCAAGACATTGATGCTTGCATATAGAACAGCCACAGACTCAGCACCCGCCTACTTCCACTCACTACTACGAATCTACATCCCCTTCAGAAGTCTGAGATCCGCTAGTGAGCGACGCCTCGTGGTACCATCACAGAGAGGCTCAAAATCACTTTCCAGAACATTCTCGTTCACCACTCCTGGCTGGTGGAACGATCTTCCCACCCCTATCCGGAATGCTGAATCCCTGACAATTTTCAAGCGACAGCTGAAAACCCATCTCTTTCGAAGTTACTTGACTTCATCATAAAAAATAAAAAAATAAAAAAAAACTCTCTCTCTTTATTTATTCCTTCTCTTTCTAGCTTGTACTTATTTGAACAATGTCTAAGAACTTGGTATTACAACCACTTCCTGTGTCTGTTTGCCTCTTAAGAAGAATCGCTTTATGTATCCCCCAATTGTAAGTCGCTTTGGATAAAAGCGTCTGCTAAATGACTAAATGTAAATGTAAATGTAAATGTGGTGTGAGACTGATTTATATAGTGTGTGTTATTGGAAGCAGCCGTGTGTGGTTGGTTTCAGGTGAGCTTGTGATTAGTGCAATGGAGTATGGGTGATGTGTAACAGTCTGTGTGGTGTGAGAGTCCATATCATGGGAGGGCGACCAGGCAGGAGCAGACAGAGCAGAGGAACACCACGACGGAGCAGACTGGACAGAAGCCCACCAGGGCGGAGCAGACGGGACAGAAGCCCACCAGGGTGGAGCAGAAGACCTCAACGGCGGAGCAGATGGGACAGAGGCCCACCAGGGCAGAGCAGGCGGAGTACAAGCCCACCAGGGTGGAGCAGAAGACATCCACGGTGTACCAGAGTGATCAGGAACCCATGGCAGGGACTGAGGCCTAGGGAAAACTGAAACATAGGAGACAGACAGTGCATTTACAGTCTCAGGGACCGAGGCAGGGAACACAAGAAGTTTATCAATAGTCCCCCTGGTGACCATTGAACGGGCAGACAGCTCAAAATCTGGCTCATTGACAGAGACTGGACAGGCAGACAGTTCATAAACAGACTCACAGACTGAATAAGCAGGCTGTCCAAGACTAAACTCATGGGTTGAAACTGGATAAACAGACAAATTACATTCAGGTTCATCGATTGAAACAGAACTGGCAGGTAATTCACAAACAGATACATTAGTTGAGACTGAATAGGGAGACACTTCTAAACTGGGTGTATTGGTAAAGACTGACAAGACCGACTGTTCAAAACTAGAAACATTGGCAGGTACTGGATAGACAGACAGTTCACCAGTGGTCTCTTTGGCGAAGACAAAAGTAATGGGGCAAATATAGAGTTCATTTATGGTTTCAGGGTTCATGACAGGCAGGGTTAAGAGTTCACAGGTGACCTTTTTGGCTGTGACGGACAGGGCTGAGAGTTCATAGGCAGCCTCCTCGGCTGGATCGGAACAGGACAAAAGTCTACAAT